TGGATATGTAATCGCTGCTGTACACTGTTGCAGTTATGTAGATGTAATCGCTGTTGTACACTGCTGAAGTTATGGATATGTAATCACTGCTGTATACTGCTGCAGTTATGGATATGTAATCACTGCTGTACACTGCTGCAGTTATGGATATGTAATCGCTGGTGCACACTGCTGCAGTTATGGATATGTAATCGCTGCTGTGCACTGCTGCAGTTATGGATATGTAATCGTTGCTGTACACTGCTGCAGTTATGGATATGTAATCGCTGATGTGCACTACTTCAGTTATGGATATGTAATCGCTGATGTACACAGCTGCAGTTATGGATATGTAATCGCTGCTGTACACTGTTGCAGTTATGGATATGTAATTGTTGCTGTACACTGCTACTGTTATGGATATGTACTCGCTGCTGTATACTGCTGCAGTTATGACTATGTAATCGCTGCTACACACTGCTGCAGTTATGGATATGTAATCGCTGATGTACACTGCTGCAGTTATGGATATGTAATCGCTATTGTACACTGCTGAAGTTATGGATATGTAATCACTGCTGTATACTGCTGCAGTTATGGATATGTAATCACTGCTGCACACTGCTTCAGTTATGGGTATGTAATCGCTGCTGTACTGAGGATAATTTATAAGATATGTGGTTTAAATATGACGTGACCGGATTGTTATTATATTAGACACTGCTGCTGATATTAAAGCATTGCTATGGTAATAGCATCGGATAAATAATATAACTAACATATTATCTGTTCATATATGATCATGTGACCTAATTAATATACATAGCTGTAATGTAATGGTCATTGCTACAGACTGTGACATGCAACCCGTGCTATAGTGAAGGCGTTTATCAAGTGGTGTGAGTAACATTTCACATGACCATGTGACTTCATTAATATACATAGCTGTAATATATTTAGTGCTGCTGCAGATATAGGCATGCAAACAGTGATAAAATGATGGTAGTTGTCAAAAGATATGCCTAACCAATCACATGACCATATAAAGTCATATGACCTAAGCAATATGCATAAACTGTAATATCTAGTGATCATATATGGCTATGAATTGCTATACCATAATCACTTAGAACCATTCTGATCACTACTTGTTGTTATAGTTTTAAATGTCATATTTACCTTATTATAAGCATGGGTGCTCAAATGTAAACGACAGAGGCAAGCCCATCGGCAAAATAAGGCATACTGCAATGATTTTTCATGCAATAGATGCAATTTCTGTATGTGTATTGGAGATGCGCATCTTATACAATAATTCAGTATTCCTTATCGAATACATTCAGCATTTAGTAGTACTTTCAAGTGATTTTCGTTTTACGCTAACATGGAACATGCTCGTGTAGCAGATGACCTTAAAAGGTGAAAACAAATGCACGAGGAAAGTTTATAATATGTATTGCTTCGGTTTGTCTGCTTGATTTTCATTTGCGATACGAAAACTGCTCCAGCCCAATTTGTGTCGCGTGTCGCGACAATCAGTGGCTCACACGTCACGTCCCGAAGTAGGTCGCACCTTATCAATGAAGCTTGTAGAACACCATCTGAACCCACCAGATCACGTTTTCACATTGATTAACGATATGACAACAATTGCGCATAAAAGCTTACTCGTCAACATACTAACTAATAGACACATTCGCTCTAGACGGTTGACTATGGCGTTTAGGTTCGGGGCATTCGTGCTCCTGACGCTGGGCATCGTCGCATACGGCCAAGAGATACGCAAGAAGAAATACTGTGAAGTAGCAGACCCATTGGCATCGTTTCATGCGTACTCTGCGGTGAGTCTCCATAGTGGAGAACTGGTTACATTTGACCAGTACAAAGGGTGGACAATCTTGGTAGTTCCTACCGCAACTTACTGAGGCAAGTCATTGTCTGCATATGATGTGTTTCCGCGCTCTTTCATTTCAAATCATATCATATGAAAATAATACGATGCTCTTATTCCAACAGGTTTAAACCACCAGTTTCTTGAATTGAATGATCTTGTAACTGAATTTAAGCAATATAACTTCACCATTCTTGGTTTTCCTGTTAACCAGTTCAGTGAGTATATGATCTATACATGTCATCGTAATGACATGCATGATGAATATAACGCAAAAATATAAAATAAAATAATAAAAGCAATTTCATTAAAACCTGGCTGTATTAGACTGGCGAACCATATGTATAAATCATGAAATTAGATAGCATTTAACTTGAATGTTCTTGGCTGCTACAACTTCCACTGCCCAACCACTGGCATATTGAAGTTTGTCTGCTTTAAATGGTAGTATGTATGTATGTATGTTTTTTTACGAATGCAGATCTACAAGAACCAGCAGAAAACGACGAGATCCTAGCTTGTCTACGAGAAGTCAGACCAGGTAACGGTTTTGTACCCAACTTCGAAATCTTTGAGAAGGGCGATGCAAATGGAGTTCAGCAAACTGACATATGGTCATATTTGAAGGTAACCATGTGTATTTTAAATATGTTGATACATCGTTGATCACAGAAAGATTCTTTCTAACGGCACATAATTGCGAATTGTTTTTCTCAACATTGTCTGTAAAATGTTTTTGAGACAGTTACATTACAATAGTTGCAATTTGTTGCTGAGATATTGACCATTTATTTTATATTCTTCAACTTCCACTGTTTCCAGGACAACTGTGCGTCTGCTGACGAATCCCTAGGGGTCAGTACAAGCTTATTCTGGGACCCGTTTCACAATGATGACATTCGGTGGACATTCAGTGAGCGCATCATCCTTGATGTCGATGGTTTTGGGTATATACGTTACAATGATCCTACCGACCCCTACGCTCCAGGCGGTTTGCGTGATGACATCGAGCAATATCTGAGGGATGGTTATATTGATTTGTAAAACACTAAACTGGGTTTATTATATACAAAGTAGGATTTAATTTAGAAATAGGAAAACGTTATTTTTGGAGTCGTTTGTTTGCTAGCATGGCGTCAATTTCCATGACGAGAGAACAGTAAACCTATTAGGCGTGTTTGTCTCCGACGTCATCGCAAAGTTGGGAAATGTTTCATTCAATTCCATTTGCTAACAGAGTGATGTAATTGTTGCCATGTGTTCATCGCAATAAACTACCATTTTGAAATCAACGATAGTTATTTTCCCTATGTGTTATTATGCTTCTATTCGATTGTTGTATATGTTCTTTAAGCGTCCAATCCTAACGAAATATCCATACGAAAACCAGGTTTTTCAAAAGTTTTAAAAACGTCAGTGTAATTATGAAGGTAAAATAGACATGATATTACCATTAATGATTATTGTTACCATACATATATACCTGTTATATACTGTTCCAAAATAGATCAAAGAAACAGTTACGTTAATTGTTATAGGAAACAGTTGTGAAATGTTCTGAATCTATCAAAACATTTTTTAACTATGGTTCGACATCATTGGGATGCAGAGTTTTATAATATTGCATCTTGTTATGGGATGATGATGCGTTATTTGATCTGAATCATTGTATCAGTGAGTGTTTCACCAAAACACAATGAAAAGCAAATGTTAATTGGAAAATCTGAAAATTAAGAAGTCATAAATACTTTACCAGTATATTTTTCGAAACCTTACATATGAACAAATTAAACACGTTCTGTGTTATATAAAATAAAGCCTTTAAGTCGTCGACTTAAATCATTCTCTATCACATTAACATTAGAGTTCTTGCAACACATATTTGGTAGACAATGTGGTTTATTGACATAAGGCCTCACAATATACATATATTCACAGTGTTGAGTATGTCGAAATAAATTTTAAAAAATAACTAATGACAACGTATCATTACTTTTTCTCTAAAACAACTTTTTACAAAATATTTCAATATCAAAATCCCACCAACTAATATCAATGTCAACTTTAATTTACAGACAAAGTGAAACACGCACTGACAATTATGTAAATATTTCGGGGTGATGATGGTCGTTTGGTGCGTGGCAAGTACATTATGTATCAATGTTCGCTACACACATACTAAGCAAGTTACGGAGAAGCTCGAGTGAGGGCGGGTGTCGGCAACTATTATTAGCAAAACTGTCACATGTATCAGCATAGAACATTTGGCGTACATCAACGTTTTCTTGATGACTGTGGATATAGTCAATTACACCGAAGCATATTATATATTATTATTAGTAGTAGTATTTTGACAGTAGCGATATATTGTAGAATGACTTGACACTGCAGTACATGTGATTGAGTATACGTAAAATATCCTTTAATTGGGGTTCGCCGCTTTCAGTAAGGACATATTCCACTGTAGTTCGAGCGTGAGTTCTTACCAAGTCCATTTTTCCTTTGTTCTGCTGTTTGTTGAAACAGAAAACATACGTGTTACTCTACATTGTGTGTGTGAATACGATAGTCTGCTCAATAACACTGCCCATGCGCGGCTCAGTGCCAATGTCAATTGGTGGCATTGTTCATATTCTATCTTGAAGTATAGGATTAGCGGCGTAATATATATTGAGGGACATATACCACAAAAAAAATCGATATTTGTTCGTGTTTGGGTGAAACATTCTGTCAAAACTTGAAGAAACATACGTTTGAATTCAATTTATGAAATACAAAATATATACTTAGTGGCTGTAAATTACTTGATAGTAAATAAGTGATATGAGCAGACTATTGTTATCATGGAGCGCTAATATACAAACATGTAGTGTTATAGAAAAAGAAGTATAGACAATATCGATATGCTGGTCATTCATGCTATAGTGTATTTGTACAGAAAATAAGATTCGAAATTAGCTACACCAAAGAAAGATATCAAGAGTTGGGAATTACAATACAATATGACAACTTTATCGGGAATTACAATACAATATGACAGTTTTATCGGGGCATTAGGCGAAATAACGAATACTTCACAGTCTTGAAAGGCTAGGCCTCTTTTAGTGGCCTCTTTGAAAATATTGTGTGGTAATTCCCAAAAAAGTGTGCGTCGTACTTCATAATTTTCTACTGTTCTATCGTGTGACCGATTTCAACCAAATGGCTACTATTCGACCCCACATCACATTTCACGCGGCATTAGCCTTGTGTAAAGTCACTTTTCAATTGAGTGCAAAACAATATTTCGGTAAGATTTGGTCATCATAGTATATAGACACAAAAGGTGCAAAATCGTAGCTATTGTCGCTTAAAGTACTAAATAAATATTATACATAAACAGAAAACTGGATAGTTTCACTATAAAGTTGGGATTATTCCTAAAAATCAAAATCAGGGTTCACAAGTTTATTTGGACTTGGAAAACGCCAGCAAAGATGATATTAATTTTCTCTGTGTTACATCATCAATCAAACGCATTTAGTTTGTTTTACATGGAAATTGTCAAACAATTGGTCAAATAATTTTATTCGACGCAATATGTTTTACTTAAGCATTGATACATTGGTCAATTAACGTTTTTGTATCGCATACTATTTAATATACCAACATATTTTTCATACTGTAAGCATGTTTATTTCGGCAGTTAGTTGCAATATACGTTTTCAGATCACGCCCTCTAGTGGCAAATTGTAACTATATATTTGTTTATCATTGTAAACGCTTACATGAGCAGATGGGACTTGTCGCTAGATTTGATTTAGCATGTTCATTTGGCTTGGTAGTATTTTACCCCTCACTGACATATTCAAACCTGGCAATGAGTCCACTTCTTGGGTTAAATCATGCAATACTACTTGATATCAAAAACCAGTTTAAGTTGAATATTTTAGCGATTTCGAATTGTGATGCATACGATAACAAGATGGTGAGATAAAATAGTACATCGCACTGATGCAATAACTGTAAATTATCACAACCTAACTAAACTAAAGAATGCTAACGACTATGTTTCATTCTGTTCAAACTAATCAATCATTAGTATATGTTTCATATTATTGCAGAAAGCTTTTCGACGACATTGCCACGGGGAAGAATATAGAATGGATTCGTAAGACAATGACTATATAAATCAACACACATATAGCGTTCCATGAACACACTAGAGTAACCCATGTATTGTTACACTTATGGAAAGTACTACGATTGATTATTTATATATTTAGTATATCATCCCGGAAGGGCTACTATAAAAACTATTTGTGTATCAAATATAAAAATGTATATATTATGCATTTTTGCTATGTTATCACTGAATATACAACTTATAACTGTTATAGTCATTGGAAAGCAACGATAACAGTAAAATACCCAAACGAAAGTAAAGTTAAGGTACAATAATAACCATATTGCAAAGCTGAGCTGCAAGACTTTGCTGGCATCGCACTACCCATAGGCTGCCCGCTGGCCGTCGACACTTTCAACACAGAGAGCAGTATATCGGTGATGATGCAGGGCGCCCTCGTATTTATTAAATCACTCAGCCTGATCAGGGTTTCTCGACAGACAGCATCCTGTATAAAAACATCATTACGTTGTTTATATATGCCATATTTAATTGCAACATAATAATGTACACACGTGTATTCCATATACTCTAGCATGGAACCGGACAATCTTCAAAATCAGTATTTGTTCGAATTGAGTCGTGACGTAACGGGGGACCTCTGATTCTGATGTTGTAAATAAAATGTATATTGACGGGTAAGTTTCATCGCACAATCCGTAAAATAGCGGTCAAAACTTATTCATGTCACAGTGAAAGTCGTCGTCATATACGGAGTAGTATTCAGATATCGACTGAATATATTGACATCGGTAAATGACGGACATTTCTTTATATTGATACCTCAGAATAATTGCATTAATGTAACTAATATCATTTAGATCGCATGTCTAAATAAACAAAAAATGTAGTTGTTTTTTGTCCTCGAAGACCTGAATGCGATGGAAAGCTTCGAATAGCGTAATCGTATACCATCGACAATCTGTATTTAGTGCTTTGAGAGAGAAGGGAAATAAAAAGGTAATATTAATAGAGAAGTGTGCTTACAGTTTCATTTGAAGCCGTCTCTCCATTAACCGACAACATCAATACACCCGGTTCGTGACCATTTAACTTCAGTTTGCAAGACTTATTCTACAAATAAATTGTTAATTGTAGATTTCTAGTAAAAATAGGATCAGCTATTGGTGTATTATATATTCATGAAAATAATATGTTCGTCTAATTGGATAGTATTTTCGAATAAATATACCCCTACAAATACACCATGGTAATATATACCAGTTAGTAGACTTGTGATAAACTAATCGAAGTACCTCTCATTCACTGAGCATCAATCATTCCCATCACATCACATACAAAATATACACATGTGTCTATTATGAGAAACTTGGATTTGTCTAACTAAAGCAGTGTACGTCCTTGGTTGATCGGAATGTTTTACAACGAACAAACGTTAACTACCGTATAAAATTCAATCAAATTCAAAGATTTATATTCGTATACAATGTGCGCCTTCGGCTCGCCGTCCGTTGGGCGCTGGACAATATCCCCAGAGCCTTCAAAAAACACTCAGACACGACTCAGCTAATTTAACCTACAGTTATGATACATCTCATCAGCTACTGAGTGAGTGAGTGAGTGAGTAGGTGATTTATATTGACGTAGTATAATTGGTGGCAGGTCACAATACATGAACTCAAGTCAGTACTTACCCTCGTGCCGTTCACGTGAATTGTGTCGATAAGAAACTGAAGTTTTTGTTGCACTGTGCTTCCCAAGAACGTTTCGTGAACGTAGTCGCTCATCATTTTTTCTTCCTGTAGACTGTAACCAATATTTATACATGGGACTCCTACTAGAAAAAGAAAACATGAAGTTATATTTAAATAACAGATAAAGCGTCCATGGATGGCGAAGTCGTAGGCCAGATCGAATA